AAAAAAAGTCAATCTAAAACTCTCTATTGACTATTTTTATAGAGCGTTTTGGGGTGACGTCACAGCGGCCATGTTGGTGTACCAAAACAAAATACATTTTCTATCCTCGGGGAATTGAACTCTATTTTTATGCAAAAACTGTGCAGAACGTTTAAATTGTTTGGTACACCAATATGGCTGCCTTGTCACGTGAGTGAAAACGCTCTATGCAATTACAATACACTCAACAAAATTACTCGATTCTCATTGGACAAGAGGAGTACAATTAAATCCCAAATTTTACTCAGAGTGTATTATAAACAAAAAATCGTCTCGTGCAATTCGGAATTTATAGATACTCGTGATGTTTTGAAAGTTCTCAAAGTTTTCAAAGTCGGGTCCCGTTAGATGACAATCTTTTTAACCTTATTCATAAAGATCCCAGCATCAACATAACGTCATATGCTACACAACACATACGTATGACGTCATAAACACACCGTCTTCGCTGAGGTTGATCGCCAAGTTTGGTACCAGCTTCACTGCTGTCACAGTACCAGTATGTCCTCCCATACTACGTAGTTCATGACCTGTATCAGCATCCCATACTTTTAGCATAGTATCGCGACTATAAGGTAATAAAGATAAATGTTAGAATAAACGAGAAACCTTCCAATAAAACTGAAACAAACGCTTACGTTGCGACAAATGTTACTACAAACGTTTAACAAGAGGAATCAATGTACGCAATGATATGCGAACGTGAACACTTGGTAATGGCGCCTGCCAATCATACTTCGTCAAGACGACGAGTCCGCGCGTGTAAGAGTGGTTTTGCGTGTACCATGCGTGGAGTGTATTCTCGAAACGAAAGCGCAGGTCATAACGTTGGCATATTTTTGGCTCTTTGTTAAACAATGATACGACGAGGTTAAACAAGTTTAAACCAAGTTTTTTTATTGTCATGGTACCAATAATATTGAATTCAAAAGTGAGGAAATTTTGAACGAGTTTGAAGATGCATTGCACGGCACGGCGTAGGATTAATGGCCCCGTTGAAGTAGACAATGCGCGCAATATTAAAGCTATTTTAACCAAAATGAGGACACTACAACATGGTCACATCACGGCGCAGAACATCTGTAAGCCTATGGAATCTAGTATATCCAATTTCAACCTGTAAGCTACATTGTTAAAAGATAAAGATCAGTTATCGAAATTATATATAACACTTGAAATGTTTAGCTCAAAATTGGTTAATTAATATAATAGTAATCCCCTGTAGATAAATAAATTTATCGAATGTTAATTCCTACAGCTGCACGTATAATAAGTATTTAAATTATCTGGTAAATACAAAAATATATTAGAAAAATTGAAAATAATATATTGGAAACGTCATAGACATTTGCATAAAGCTCAGACTTCTTTTAAGTTTTCCAAAAAAAATCCCGTTAAAAGATCTGCCAAAAAAACTAAATTTGAAATTATGAAAAAAATTTCTTCAAAAGAAAAATAATTTCAATGCATTTTGCAGCAACAATGGATATAAGATATTAGTTTGATAATTGTTAAAAAAATAGATAAACATTTTGTATCTGTTATGCAAAGTAAAATTTAAGTTACATTTCTCTTACTTTTAGTTGCTGGAGTTTCCATTTATAGGTCTTTAGAAGTGTATGTTAACCAAAGTAAATTACAAGATATAAAACAGCCATATATCAGTAAAATCTGACTCGCTTGCAGCTCTGAACAACTGCAAGAATCGATAAGAGCTCTTGAATTATGCTTGTGTTATAAAGTCTCTATGGTAAAGTTCATTAATATTTAGTAGCCATAGCTGAAGTACTTGTTCTGTTATTGAATTATTAATCAGATTTTCTTTAATCAACACTGAATCTAAAATTCCATAAAATACTTCAAAAGCATATTTTTTTTCTGTAAAATATTTTAGTTCGAGAAAAGAGAATAAACTAGATATGGTAACTTAAATCAAAGGTTTTGAAGCTGTTTCATTTTTGATGTATTATAAGTGGTTGGAGTTATGGTTAATATGTTTTTACCACAAGTATAAAACTGGTTTAGTGGGAATATGGGATGATATTTGAAGGCCTTATGATTGGCTAATGCAAATTAAGATGTATTTTAAATTGTTGCCTTAACAAAGCCATAGATGTTATTTATATACAAAGTGTATGTAAAATATCCAAGGATAAAAAGTTTATCCAGTAAATGAAACATTTAAATACAAGTTAAAGACAATAGGCCATTTTACGGATCCCGTTACTCAACCTCAGCCTCGTCAGCGCGCAATTATTCTTTAGAATTTGACTACAGTCCGCAGTAATGAAAGGAATTTACACATCAATGAACAATTGAAACACTTAAAAATTTCACAGGTTGTAGGCAATTTCTAAAGAATATATTACACGCTGACAAGGCTGAGGCTGAGCCGCGGGATCTGTGAAATGGTCTATTTTGTTGCTTGCAGTAAGTTAATGAATTAAGAAAGAATGGCACTAAATGCAACTGACAAAACTGATATTTTTACTAGTTGTTTGTAGGACAAGATTTTAATTCTACTGGGAAAACGTCTGTGATAACGATTGTTTTTTGATATTGTCTGAGTTAGAACCATGAATTCTGGAGAGTGGTATATTGCAAAATGTCAAATTTGATCGACTGAGAATATAATGCAATAATTGCATGTGCAAACAATACTGCAGAAATATGTTTGTGTTTTTTTTGKTTTTTTTTTTCAGAATTAAACTTGTTATAGACATTATTGAACTGAAGTATGAACAAAACCTTTATTTAAAAATAAATAAGGCCAGGGTAGTCCCTTCAGAACTAATAAAAAGCTCTGCTATCAATGGGAGCTCTGGTAAATCTAGAAATGGTTGCATTGCAATTGGTGGTCAAATATGGTGGGCAACTATGGTGCAATCGTTTGACAAACCACATTACATTTTTGCACCATGTCATCTGGTACTAGCACGACCAGGGCTTAAAATAATGCCTTACATAAACAGACAATGTCTGGCCAAATGCCTCTTATGCTGATCCTATTGACTGAGTCCCATTGACTGCGTCCCATTAATTGGTTACATGGACTGGTCACATTGAGTGGCAGTTATTTTAGCCCTGCAAGATGGCATTAAGCAGCAGTTTATATTTAAAGTCTAATCCCCTCCTACCTTCCAGAGATGATAACCGTCTCTCCACAGTCAACATCAGTGATGTTATCATTATGACCTTCGAGTACTTGAACATTAAATGAAGCATTCTTCCATTCTTGCTGTACTTTGGACAGAGCTGTTGGTTTTTTGCTGCTTTTGGTTGTTGATGATGATGGTAGTGATGTAAAAGATGATTTTGATGATGATGTTTTGGTAGATGATTGTGACACTGATGAAGCTGCTGCTGCTGTTGATAGTGATGATGCTGAAGATGATGATGCTGCTGCTGATGTTGATGCTGGTGTTGTTGATGATGATGATGGAACAGTTACAGCAGTCTGAGCAACAAAGTTATCTGCATTGACATCACTTTTCCTTGGTGCTATCTCTTCACTATAGTTATCATCACTACCCCCCTCTGCAGCGCTCTCATGCTGTAACCTTGAATCAATAAGTTGTCTTTCCTCCTCTATCCTGTCATCCTCTTCTCCTTCTTCTTCATCATTCCCAGCTGTTGGATTTTGTTCACTTTTGGTAAGAGAAATCTGAGCTGCCAACTCCATCTTTCTCACATCTTTGAGAATTTTTTCCCGTTGTGCAACAAGTTTTTGAAGTTCTTTACGAACTTGGTCCTTCTTCTTAACCTATACAATGACATTTTGGGGAATTATTTAATCTTAGAGCAGTTTTCAAAGAAATGGGGAATAATTATTGACAGCAAATTCATAGTCATGTTTGTACCCCTACTATATTTTACTGCATGTGTAACTATTAGCTATGAGTTGTAATTGGATGATTTACTCAAAGAAAATGTGAAGCCATTTCAAAGTTACAGCTTGTATGAAACCCATTTTACAATCAGAGTGGCAAAGGCGTGTTGCATGATAGCATCCAAATTAACTGTGTGATTTGCATAAGATGATCTCACATATTACCATGTTATGTGTGATGCGTGATAAGTCAAAAATTCTCTCTGTGACGTGTGATCTCATTAAAGTGCCTATCACCCTTCTGACAATATTTACAGTATTGATTCTACATGGGGTAAGATGTAATATAACCTGAAAAAAWTTCATAGTTTGAGTGCAGCTTCTTGAAGTTATRAAGGTTTTTCCATGCAATATGCTAATGCGGTGACGTATGAGGAGGCATTTATGGTTATTTGTTGTTCCTTGTAATTCTAAACACCGGCTTCTATGTGAAAAATAGCTTGCAATAATTTCTATAAGAGCAATGGGCAAAACAATGACGTATTTCAAATTTAATTTATCTGTGCCAGTAAGGTTTTGTATATTAAATGATTACTCCTCATACGTCACAGAATTAGCATATGGCATGGAAAAACCTTTATAACTTCAAGAAGCCGCACTCAAACTATGTAATTTTTTTGGGCTTTTCCACATCTTACCCCATGTAGAATCAATACTGTGAATATTGTCAGAAGGGTGATAGGCACTTTAAAAAATTAGTGTGAAGTAAAATGATGTACAATCATGCATGTTATCATGATAATAATAATAATAATAATAATACTTAATGACTAAACATAAGTCTTAATGAATAATCATAAGCTTGATAATAACAAAAAAGGTAATATGATGATGATGATGAGGAAGCTAAGAATTAAAACTCTGTTTATTAAACTAGCCATTAAAACACAAACTCAAAATCAAAACCAAATTCCGCAAAAATCCCATCAAAAATTCATCCAAAAAAATTACTTGAAATGAGATTTGAGATGGACTTTACTTAAACCCTTGTTAATCACCCCTCCCCCCCTAAAAACACACTTTCATGATCATATCCCAAGGAATACCAACCTTCAAGTATTCTTCGTCCGTTAATTCACGATCTAGTTGATCCAAATGCTCAATCTGGCGTAGTTTTTTGCGAAGTTTTCTTATCTCAACAGACAAAGTTTTGTCATCCGCCATTTGTAAAGTCGCCACGTAAGATTTCAAATAAATATCTGGGTTGCCTGTGGTTGTGACGTATTTTGGATCCAACTTCTCACAAAATCATTTTGGAAAGAGTCTCATTTTCCTTTTAAGCTTGGAAAGACAACATTAACTGTTTTACTGGGCTATAGAATTTATTAAAAAGAGATTTATAGATTAATGTAAGGGTTTGAGGTCTTATTTAGTTGGTATTCCTGTGGTACACAATATGAGGTTTGGGCTGCCTGTGGTCTGATTAAGCAACATGGAGGACAAAGTGAGTTGTTTGTCGTTGAAGCGCAGTTTTTAATCTTCTTTGCAGTGATTAAACCATAGAATTTGACACTTAATGCTTGGTTTTGTTAACTTTTATCATGTTAAAAGGATAATCCCGGAATTTCCAGAGTTACAATGGATAAAGAAAAAGAATTAAGACAAAAAAAGGTTAGTGAAACTACTTCTGTTTTCTGCAGAGTAATTTCGTTAATTTACCGCATTGACTCATTTTTTTATTTTTCTATTAATAGTTGCAATTATGGTTTTTATCTTGCATCAGATCATTCTCAATGATATTTGGCTTCTTTGTTTTTTCTGGCAGATTGAAACAGCAGTGAAATTCCTTCAGAATCCCCGTGTACGACAGACTCCTATGGCCCAAAGAAGATCATTCTTGGAAAAGAAAGGTATACTTTAGAAGAGAGAGAGAGAACCTGTAGAAAAAGCAACTCTACTCGCATGTGATGACATGTCTAGGGATCAAACCCAAAACTGCAGCAGTGAGAGGTGGGGCATTATCAGCACAGTTGCCCAGTGCAGTTGGCGAGTGGCATGAAGGGAGCCAGTGAGAGAGATGATGTGCTTGAGATATGCTTGCTTCTGATTGTTATTTTATTCTGATGTACTGTAGGATTAACAAAAGAAGAAATAGAGCAAGCTATTCTCCAATCTGGCACAGCTGCAGATGAAGTAAATAATAAATAATAAGTTATTAAAAGAATAAAAATTCATTCTTATAACCAAATTGCAGCTTGGAATTTAAGGTTTGAACCCCCTCCTTCCCCCCCCC